GAGTTGAAGAGGTCGTAGGGAGCTTGAAGACGACGTGATCATGTTCTCTAATCACTATTCGAGAAGGGCAGAGCAGTAAGAGAAAGATCGATGGGCCTGCTAAAGGACCCAAGAATATCACTAGGGTCGAGATGTCGAATCTTGATGAGGTGATGAAGATTGAGCTCGTGAAGGGGGTGATAGGAAAGACAACACTAATCGGCAGGGACCTGGTACACCATCTTAACATCGATATAGGGGCAAGACCAATGAAGCAGAAGCCCATGCACTTCGAACATGAGCTCGACCTTATCATCGAGAAAGAAGTGATAACTTGTTGCTGGTGGGGCACATTTAACCGATCCAATTCTTGAGTGGTTGTGGAATTTTGTTGTGGTAAAAAAAGAGCTCGATAAGTGGAGGATGTGTATCGACTTGTGGGCTCCCAACAAAGCATGCCCAAAAGATCATTACCCTCTACCCACAATCGGCCAACTGGTGGATTCGACAACTGGTTTTGAGCTCCTGGGCATGATGGATGTCTCACAGGGTTTTCACCAAATTGCGTTGGCAGAAGAGGATCATAACAGGGTAAGCTTCGCCACATATATAAGGGGACGTACTGTTACATCCTCATGCCATTTATATTAAACAATGCGGGAGCTACACATTATCAACGTTTTGTCAACCAAATTTTCAAAGGTCAATTAGGTCGAAACATGGAAGTCTACGTGGACGAATGTTGGTCAAAATCAAAGTGGCACATGATCATATAACCGATATGATAGAACCTTCGCAACTTTCGGGTTTCACGTGATGAAATTGAATCGATAGAAGTGTAATTACGGAGTTAGGATGGGAAATTTTTTAGGTTACGTAGTCACCAAGAAGGGATCAAGGTCAATCCAACAAAAGTACAAGTAGTACTAGATATAAAACCCGAAGACCCTGCAAGAAGCCTAGGCGTTTAGAATTTAGAATGTGTGTTGATATAATTCTTAAGAGTTTAGAATGCGTATTAATATATGAAGTGTAGTTGTATATATACAGTGATAAATAGCCATTGCAAAACCGTTAACGAGCCACTGGAATTTTTTTGCCTTTATCACACACACACACACACACACACACACACACACACATATATATATTATTTGCAAGAACATATTGTTGATACGATATTTATTAATTATATTATTCATGATAAATTATAAATTTCTAATCAATCATGCATATCAATTAGAATTGCTCGGTGAGCCTTTCAGTGGGCCTTTAGGGTGTGTAACAAAGAAATTTAATTTACTCCATATTACTCGGTAAACCTTTTTGTGTGTACAAGTAACAAAATAATAAACAAATAAAATATCATCCACACTACTCGATAAATCTTTCAGCGGGTACAAAATTAAGCAATCATAAATTTTGCACCACATTACTAGGTAAATCTTTCTGTGGGTATTAAATGCAATTAATAATATTATTTATAATGTATAATTATTATTATAACTTGGAGTCATTTTTCTTAATCTTAGAAATACATAAAATATAAAAAGAGTGTTAAGTACAAGTAATAATATTATTTATAATGTAAAATTATTATTATAAGTTGGAAATATTTTTCTTAATCATTAGTAATACGTAAAAGAAAATTCTTTAATATTACCTTACCCAATATTATTTTTCAATAGGGTTTTCAATTATCATGCTTGAATGTCGAATATTGTTGAAGAGTGACACTTCAATTTACAATTGATTCAATATGATTTTTTATTTATTTATTTATTTTTTTTT